GCATAAAAATCATATTTGGCATATAAAGTAAAATTAATTTTTCCCGGCAGTTTCCCCCCTTTCTATTGCAAAGGCCCTATATTGTCTCTTTCATATTGTTGAAAGTGAAGATAAGGTCTCAACTAGGCTATTCTATCTTGGTATAGTTTTAAAGCCCGATTTATTTTATTCATTTTCACGGAATTAGAATTTATTTTAAAAGAAAATAATAAGAAAAAACAAGAATTACAAATATTTTGATTTACAAAAAAATAAAAATATAAGAGATTAGAGGTTTAATGAGAAATTTTTTTTTTCTTATCTATCTATATAATTTCCCAATAATCAAATCATTTTGTGAGTAAATTATTTAATTAAAGAAACAGTGTTTAGGATCACAAAAGGCTCCTTTTATCATCAAATTCGGAACCTTAATTATTATAAAAAAAATTAGGTTATTATTGTATACTGATATATAATAAATCAAGAAGTATTTATATTAAATAATATAGAAATTCAATTATAACGCTTTTCAAAACTAATAAACAACTTAGTCTTGACCCAATATAAAAAAATATATATACGTTACTGAGATAACTAAAGTTGCATAGGATTACTATTATTATTCTTATAGGTTATTTATCTTTTGAGAATTAGGTAATTTCTCATTTTAGTTCGATGAGTAACCAGTCTAACTGGCATTATTTCTAGTAAAAATATGCGATCTACATCCATAATTATTACACATGTATTTAAAAATATCCCTTATATTTCTTGCAGCATTAACATCACTATTCCAAAGAGTTAAACAATTCGATCTGCAAACTTTCAAAGCATAATAACATTGTGGATATGTAAATCTATCTTTATATCGGGAGCAAATCTGTAAAAATAAATAAATGATATTAAATAAATATTAAAAATTTTTTTTAAAAAAATATTAAATACTCACTTGTGAGTTTCGAAATTCAGAAATAAGCCTAGTGCAGCAACGTCTCTTAAGTTTCGCAAAAAGTTGTTTTATAGGACCTGATGCATGTTCTCGCGAAGAAGAAGAGAAGCTACCTGCTCCATAACACTGGTCAAAATCAAAAAAATCGGCATATGGTAAATCAGCTCAAAATCAGCCTAAAATTAGATATTATCAAAAATCAGCCAAAAATCAGCCATCCGATTTATAGCTGATTTGATATAAGTCAAAATTCAGCACCTAA